CTTCAAGATTCTTGCAGGGAATGGGCAGGGAAAAATATTATACAACTGTAAGGCATTATTACAACTAACCAGTTATTTTTCAGATCTGCAGAGCTGGGTCATATCCAATTTGGGTCACAAGTTAAGGATCATCAGAATACACCATTTGCTAGTTTTCAGTTGACAAGTGTCTCCATCAAAGCCTATTTCTATTTTATTTGGTTCAACTTAGAGTAATGGAAACTGTCAGCTCAGAGGGTAATACTGGTGGGGCAGGGGTAACACAGGTCAGCCCCTGAAAAAACAGAGAGAGAGAGAGAGAGAGTCCAAAGAAGTGGGAGGAACCATTCCTCATACTAAGCCTAGATTAAGATATCGGTCATTGTTCATATAGACTGTGGATATTTCTCTGGTTATACCAGATAAATAGTCTCTCTTGTTTATTTTTTTGGTTTTTGTTTTTTTGCCCCCGAAAGGTTGCAGAAAGGTTGACTTCTGAGTGTCACTTTTACTGGACCTTGCTAGTCTTTGAGCAAGTTCACTGTTTGGTTGGGGAGTTTTCTGGACTGTGGATCAAGAAAAATCCTCAGGCTTATGAAATTCTCCTTGGCAACTAACTGAAAACTCAGCTTTACAATGCCTCTGATTTTTACATGTTCAGGGACACTAATGATAATGACCCTTTGCTGAGTATGCTACTTGTCTAGAGGCCCATGTCAAGTACACCACTCAATTCAGAGTGGACAGGGACAAACTATTTGTTTGCTCTTCAGGCCCCTTGGGCCCTGTCAGATGTTATTTGTTCCTGCATTAAGAGGTAACTTGACTCAGCTGGGCTGACATTCCTTCTACTCAGTGTATTTCACTTGTGCAGTTGCAGTTACAAAAGCACTAAGTGACAAGAGCCCCTAACAGTTCTTTTAAGTGGCTTTTTAGTTGGGAATCTAAATCTTTTCATAACTTTTATTGGTTACCACTGAAATCAGAGTGACTACTTTTTGACCAGCCTGGCTACCAGATACACTGGATGCTGCCAAACCATAATTAACTGGATTGTTCATCTATGACTTGTAACAAAAACGGAGACTATGGGGTGAGGAACAAGTACATTTATTTCTTTTAATGATATGAGAGGCATCAAATGTTTCTACCTTTTCTGTCTATAAATGCCTAATGAAAATTAACACTCAGCATGCCCTACATGACTATTACTGTTACGTATTGTTTTGCTTCCTTTCTTTTTCTTCCTTTTGTAACTTGGCCTTACAGAATGTGCCAATTCGCACAGGATGTCTCCTCAAGAGAAGATGGCTCACTTCTCTTTTAGAGGCTTTTTGTTGCTGTCATTTAAAGCTCTAGTCGAAGGATTTTTGCAAATATTTTCTCCTGCAGATTTAAGGGCCAGATTCTCAGCTGATGTAAATCAATAAAACTTCATTAATATTAAGGGAGCTATCCAATGACGATACAGTTTTACGTTTCTCGTTTGTTGTCTAAATATTTCTCCAGTCAAGCAGTTGATATGACCAGTATCATAACTTAGAGGTTCTACACCAGATTCATCCACCATGTTTCTTTGGATGTGATCTTGTATGAAACTGGAATTGTGCTGGGTTTCCTAATTCTCTCCATATTCATGTAAGAGATGTCTAATGTCCATTTACTTTGGTTACTAAGGTAATTGTCATCACGTACTGTAAAACAGACATCTATATTTGGTAACATCAATTTGTCTCTAGTGATAAAAGACAAACTCTAGTGATAAGAACCTCACAATCTTGTAAGTTTAGATTTGGATCAAATTAGACACTGCAGCTGAACTCTCCAAAACCCCATTCATTCACTGAAGTGTAATTTTTTGTGTTCTATTGAACTTTTTTGTGTTCAGTAAGCATGGAATTTTACCCCATAGCACACAGGAAAGCAGAGGATCATCTTCTTTGAATGAACTTCCATTCACTGGTTTGCTCCCTGTGACAGTGGACATGCTGTATTTCTGCTGAGTTTGGACCCTCTGCTGCCTGTAGGGTTGATCAGGAAGTGACTCAGTAGACCTCTGATTACATTTCACAATGGAATTTGTGTGCATTCTTCCTGCTCTACATGCTTATACCTCCTAACACTTGAACTCCAGCACATCAAAGTCAAATAATATGGACAAGTCTGTTAAATGACATTTCCATTGAAAAACATCTAGTTGTAAGAATGTCTTTTTCCTCAAATTTTTGGGAAGAAAAACAGTAAATATCAGGAACAGACAATACAGTATGTTTTATCTGACAGGAAGCATCTCTTGTCCTTAGATGACATTAACTAAGACAAGCATTAGAGTGGGCAGAGGATCACAACATTTCAATTTAGATAAGTTCTGTATTTTTAAAATGAGATAATCAAGCTTAATTTCTTTTCCATAGAAAAGGATCTGACCACTTACTCGGTAAAACTAAATTTTTTTTGGACTTAATCCATTTTTTCCCTATTTAAAAGCTCTGAACCAAAATTCAGCTTACCCTACATGGATATTGGGTAAAGTAGAGGGGACATGAGGTAGGAGTAGGGGGAGCTTGAAGATTGGAAGAAAAAGGTGAGCAAATAAATTCAACAGTAAAAAAAGAGGAAGAAAAAAACAAAGTAGATTTGGAGGCTTGGCAAAGTTCTGTGCTCATTGCTCGACCTGTATTTAGCAATTCTGATGTGCTACTGAGCAGACAGCTCAAGCTCGGGATGACTACTCTCCCTCAGTCCCTCTTCAGCAGGCAATGAAAGCAGGCTCCACTTTGAAAATTTTCCCCCATCATGCAAACTGACACAGGCATGCTTTTCAAAAACCCACAGCCAATCTGTTGATCATTACTTATTTACAAAGGCCTTCGGGCAGAAAGTCCTGTAAAAACCATACTTGATACGGTATACACTAGCTTTTTCTGCTTGTGGAAAAAAAGTACCCCTAAGGCTACCTCAAACCATCACTTTCTATTGCACATAAAATGTACCGTGTAACACTAAAGTATTTAATATATATGGTATAATATATCTACAGGAAAGGCATTTGTGTAGAAGTATGTTACCCTGTATTTGGTAATTTGATGTTTTGCTGAAGGCTATGACTTGAAAAAGCCTGCACCTAGTACAGAGGACCTGTCATCTCAGTACCCAAGAGCCAGTAGAATAAAGAAGTACCCTTAAGCAGCAAAACTTTGACACAGCTTTGAAGCATATGAAAACAGTATAACTCCCCAGAATTATTATTACTCAAGATCAAAGAAATGAGGCATACTTTACATAGCAAACAGGGACAGTGCACTCAGCTCCAAATGCTTCAGCTTTCTCTCTCCTTTCCTTATTTTATTTTATTTTTACTTTCTTAAATTTTGGCAAGGGGGAGAACTCCCACATATTTCAACCTTTAAATGGGCAAAATTATTAGCACCAGATAAAAAGATTATCCAAAGGTGAGCAAATTGAAAATGATGTTAGCATGACAACTGCCATCATAAAAATGAGAAGCTTGGTGGTATGCTCATTTTATTCTTCCTCATAAACTGTAAACAAGCATGTAAATCAGTGTCACACAGCAAGGCTGAGCTAACGGAAAGGCAGAGAACTTTTAACGATACATTTAACAGAAATAGATGGTCAATGGGAAAAAAAAGACACAGCTGGGTGCATTTTCCTCTGTGAATCAATCTTGCTTTTGGTGCTGTAGTATAAACACAGATGAAGAAGACATGCAGAAAGTCTGCCCTTGAATATGCCCTAGATTGCAGGAACAATAAGGAGAAATGGAAGAATCTTCAACTAGCTAAGGAAATTCCTCTTCCACACTCTGTAATACAAAGTGGGAAATTGTCTGGCTATACTGAAAACTGCTAAAGGAGCGTGGTCACTGCCATTAAGTGAACAAGGTGCTGACTGATGAATATATTTTACATGTGTGGGTGTTGGTTTTTCTGTCTATGTGCATGTATGTTTATATATAATGTGTATATATATTTATATAAAGATACATATACAACAGAACTATGATGTTCAACTCTGGTTTCAACCTTGATCTGAATTTCTAGCTTGGCCTTTTTCTAATTATACATATAGACAAACCAAGCAGAACAACCTGCTTGCAGACAATTCAGCCACAGTGAAGCTACATTTCTAGTGCCTGGTCTTGCTCCCAGTGACTTCAACAAGGGGAAATAGAATAAAAGATCCATGCTGTTACAATATAGTAATATATCCCAATTACAATTCCAGACATAAAGAACCTCCACATAGAGGGAAACTGTCCCGCGGAAAGGAATGGCTTAATTACATGAAGGTTCTAGTGGTTTAAAATACTGTATATCTGACAAGAGAGAGAAAAATCCACTACCCACCAGAAGATGTTTTCATTATCCACTTTCAGAGTATGTAGTATCTTTAAAAAAATCTTGTATTTCATAATTGATATTGCTTTTACCCTGAGTAAAACTGCATTAGTTTTGAACTTTGCTTTGGCAAGCACATAGATTATTAGACTTTTTTATCAGTCAAAATCAATTAACAGAAATTTGATTTCAATCGACAGGATAAAAGGAAGGTAATATTCAGGTTCATTTTTGATTGTGATGATACATCTCACATATGGCCTTAAGTACAGAAAACAGTACTCAGAGGGATTCCAACAAAAAGAGAATTGCCTGAGGCAAACTAACCACACGAGTTCCTCTGATTGGTTAGTGCTATCATTAGTGCCACTGCTGTTTAAGAACTACACACGGACAGGACAGGGTGACAGCTAAGACTTTAAAGCCTATGTATTTTTCAAACAGCTTTTCAAACTGTTTTTCATGACAGAATTTTTTTTCAGCTCTATCATTAACTGCTGACAAGCTGACAGAATAAATACTTCAGCCTTTCAGAAACTATCTAACAATCTTTTTCTTCATCCCCCTCCCCCCCCGCTTTTTTGAGGTTGGGGGAGCTTGAGAGGAAGTGGGGGAGGAAAGGAGATAAAGATATGAGTTTCTTACAATCTTACGTCTTACCTCATCAGTTTGGGTGAGGAGTTGGGTGAATTTCGCATGCTTCCATTTCGCTGCTTTTTTTTGGGCGACAGCGTCGGCGGCTGCTCATCTTCAACTGGAAATATAGGCAACTCATGAGATTAAGAACTGCTCTAAGCACAGCATGAAACACAAGTGAAATAGCAAAGAACACACACTCAACGTCCATTCACGCACTGATACTTCATTGCTAATATTTTAAGCCCAACAGTAATAAAAATCAAATACATGTTAGTCAGAGTTTGTTTTGAAGAAGGAGAGGAAAGGAAGAAAACCAGGTTTTTGAACACAGAAGTTCAAATTGGTTTCATACTTCAAAAACAAAAAGGGGGGGAACAGCAATCATGTTATTCTTAGAGTTATTTTCAGTTAATCTGTACTACTAGAGAGTAGAATTAGTGCTCTTCTATATACCAAGAAAGATAAAATGCTATTTGAAATACCAACATAACAGCAGCCAGCCTGCTTTACTAATGAACCAGATATCAATCGGTTCTTGTTTCTCACATGCTAGACAACCAAGTCTTTATGAAGAGATGTAAAATATTCAATGCCTTGATGTTCAATGTTTCAGTTAGTTAGGACTGTGAACATAGTCTGTGATTGTGAAAAGATCTCCAGCACAATTCAGACTTCATCACTCCACCCCTTTCAAAAAGTGGAGATATCATAAGAGGATTAAACAGAAAGAGTTTGTATGGAAGTGAGGGACAATACCTGTATAACAGAGAATAAATGTGTTATGGCAAAAGATCTTTAAATGAGGATGAAGTGCATTTTCAATGAAAGATCATTTTCCCAAATGTGAAATTGCTTATGATTACTATAAACAATACATAATTTGGATGACGTATAGTATAATACTCTTTGCTTATAATAAGTTATGCATTAGTATTAAACTTCCATCATTACTGCTTAAAGATGGCTACTGCAGTAGATGATTAAAAAACAGTTACACTGGCTATCCAAGGGTATTGTCTGTGAATGTAGTGTTTTCTCAAATTCAAACTAGTGCTGTAATTTCAAAAATCAGAATAGGCTTTTTCCATATTACAGTTAACTGAAAAACAAACGAGAAGATATTGTAACTGAGGCCTGGGTTACTTTAAAGCTAAAAGGAAAGGTATTAGTAGTTGTAGCTATGTTAAAGGAGCTTAGTACACATTAGCAGTGCACAAGCAGAAGCTGGGAAAAAATTCCATTTGTAATAAACTATATAGGAACCAAAAAGATCCCCCAAACCTGGACATGTCACCTAATCTAGATTTGCCTAGAAATGAATTAAGCAATATCTTTCTGCTATAACTCTCTTCTGACACTACTTTATTACAGTCCACATTCTAACCTGTCATGTCTGTCTGTTTTCTGGAGTCTGCTATGGAACTTCATTTTGCCTGAACTCTCAGAAGGCAATAACGCTATTTTTTAAAAAACATCCTGGCACTGCCTAACAAAACCAGGGAGTTAAAAAAATAATGTCTCAAAAGAGTGATGTAAAAGAGATTTAATTAGAAGTGAGAAGTGATAACCTTACACTAAATATTTTATCAGACTTATTTAGCCTCTTTTTCCATTTCCGGAATATCTGCAAACAATGCAATTTCTTTCTAGGTTGATTTTTTTTTAACTTTAGACATCTTATATATAATTTTGAACAGTTTGCCAACTGATATTAAATTGTTAAGTTGTGTTGCGTAGTTGTGATTGGTTACGTAAGTCAGGTGGTGAGATAGCTGCTGAGTATAAACATTTCCATAGCCAATACTCAAATACGAACATTTAAATTTTTCTTTTCTTTTAAAATTCCTTGCAACTAAACATGATTGTTTCACTACTGTTATTTGTAAACTGGGTAAAATATGCACAGACATTATTTTAATAGGATTTGTCCAGCTTTTATTATAATATAGCGCAGATTTCTGAGTATTCCATGACACCCCTTGCAAATCATTCTCTGGAAAATGATAAAGCCCTGTTTTAAGCTTATCTGTCAAGAGCAGTTACATACATTCCACACAAGCAATAAGTTGCTTTTAAGATACACTAGGCTCCCTTACTCTTTACCGAATAAAAATATTCCGTGCAAATCACACAGAGAATTACCACTTGAGAGATTAAAGGAAGTAAGAATCACAGAAAATGTTGCTTGCAGAAAAACAAACAAAAACACCTACAAATGATTCTCTCTGCCAGCAATCAAAATTCAGACCTTCATCTAAATTAATGTGCTACTCTGGGCTACAGAATGGTTATCAGAGTCTAAAAGAAAAACACTTTTTATAGCTTTCAACTAGTACAAGGAAACACTTGACCCAATAGGATTATTTGCAAAGTCTTACTTTAATACAGACCATCTGTAGGAATATTATGCCCAGAAACAGTTCTTGAACAGTGCAAAATGCTATTAAAGAAGATATTTTTTCCAAGCCTTCATCTGGTTAAAATAACACATCCTTGCTGCTTTCAAATGTTAAAGTCCAATGAGGATCTTTCATCTGGCATGTTCTAGCATTTGCTCTTTGCAATACTACCAGATGTCATGCCATATTGGCCAATTGGAAAACTAGGCCTTATTAGTTACCATCCAGAAGTACTATCTTTTCAAGACTGGGTTTCCTAACAGATTCCTTTTCGATTACACTTACAGTAAGCAAGCTTTATTCTTCATTAAGTGACTATCATTTTTAAACAACTGTGTAACATGTAACAATCTATTTACCTGTAATGTTCTAAAGTAATGTGGCTCGGTAGTTAATACTTGTTACTAAAACATTCTGAGAGACCTCATTTCAGTAATAAAGCTTTGCATTAAACAACAAGTATTAGACAAAGGAGCCATTTATTTTCATTGTAGCAATGAAAGATCATGTATCTTAATCATATCACATTTGAATCTGGACTTTATTTAACAGTGAAATCTGCGTGTACAGTTTAGAGTGCGTCTGCAACTCAGAAATGCAGTCACATTCCCTTAAAGGAAAGAAAAATAGTCTGAAGCTGAAATATATGAATGGTGCACAATGGAGACTATTAACTATGGCTTGGCTCCCAGTAGTGTTACAATGATAACTCACAAGTGGCTTCTTAGTCATAGGTAGGATATAAACCATATTTAATTATTATCCTTTATATATTCTATCAATTTCCTGAGCATTTAAAGAAAGTAGATCTAGCAAAAATTTTAGTTAAGCCATAAAATATAATTTTCATTTCATAGTTCCTGTGTCTGCATGTGAGAAATAAAAATTAAATTAAAAAGGAGTCTTAAATTCACTATCTCGGTTAAAAGACAACTGTATTTGAATAATGGGCTGCAATTTATGACAACTTAATTCTAATGTTACATGTTTAACCTACTGCTTTTGTTAATGAGAAAGTGCTCCCTGTTTTAATATTTTGAATTTCTTGTGTGCTGTGAGGATTGTGTTAAAATACAGTCATAGTGTATTAGGCAGACTTTCTTTACCAGCTTTCATGAAAAGTGCAAACAAGTTCAGGAATCTGACGCAGAATTTTATAGGATCTGAACTCAACCCAAACTCTGAATTCTCATACAATTCTAGAGCTTGTTTTTGCACATCCCTAAGTATAACACTTAGTGTACTGTTGTAACAACCCAGTGCTCACTTGTCTAATAGGCACAGAATCTAACAGTTTTACAGATCAGGAAGACTCCGTGCTAGAAAAATGTCAGGCAAGTCTAATGAGGCTTCAGATACTCTGGTTTATGCTGGAGTTTAATTTAAAGTTACACTGATGTTTTAACATGTTTGCTTATTCTTGAGTAAAGAGGATTCATTATTTCAATGACATAACCTCTAGACAATGTTCCATGAATTGATTTAAGATGTGCTAGTAATTTTAACAGCCTTAATGCAGAGCTGAACATCTGTAACAACATATTACTTGACTTTTATTCTCATTTTGGTTTTAAACAAAATAAAGGGAATGTCTTTCAAAAACAGTGGACACGTTCCTAACTGGGTTTTTTTAGTATGTTGTTACCTTTAAAAATATATACAGTAAACTGTCTCTTTCTTTTCCTTTGCCAGCTCACCTAACAATAACATTCATGGCTGCCTGCTTTATGGTTCTCCAAAGAACCTGCAGCACTGTTGACATTTAAGGTACCAAACATCATGCCAACTTGAAAACGTTGTAAATGCATTGCCCAGAGTAAATGTTTTAAGGCAAATAAGCTATATGAAAGATAAACTACAAACTGCCCAGAAACATTAGTTGACTAGCCATCTCAATTAAGTTATTAATCGCCACATCTGGGGAAGCCCACATCTGTAAACACTTAGCAGACCATTAGTAATGTCATATTCACATTGAAAACAGATCATAAAACCATGCACAAACCAATCTGTTTTGCCTTATATATCCAGCTAAGGGGCTACCTACGGAGATCTTGGTTCAACCCAGGCTTTTGGGAGTGGTAGCGATATTTTACAGGCAAGCTGAGTGCCCTTTGCAATCTACAGTAGGTAGATTTTCCTTGTTCAACAGAACTCAACAAGTTAAGATGCAGCAGAGAGGGATTGTTGGGTAGAAAGAGGCTCCCTTTACGGTTATTAACAAGTGGAACAGGTTCCAGGATTCCTTCAGTGGGCTTGGCACCAACCAGTGCATTAGTAGTTGCATTCTTGAATTGAAATGAATGTTTTGGGTAACTTGATCTAGCTGCATTCTTTACTTCTAAATAATAAGAAAAAATGGAAATTAACTTTTTTTGTCCAATAAGTAATGTTTTCAAACCACAGGCATGAATCTATTCTAATATTATAGAAAATTACAGAATATTAAAGTATCTGTTTCCACAGATAAAATATAGGTTTATACCTGCAGCCTTCTCAACTTCTTTTTTAAAGTGGCTTTTTGTGTAAAAGGATTATTCCACAATATTATCATCTTTAAGCAATAATCCTATCCACAAGTAGGTATGTTTGAAGCAATACTTATTTCCCACATATTGACAAAGGTCTCAGATCTTTTAGCTGTAGATGATGATTATTCCCTTGAATCTACTGAAAATGACAGGGAAAGTACTTTAATAGCAACCTTGTACTGTAA